CCCTCCCTCCCTCCCTCCCTCCTCCCCCCCTCCTCCCCTCCCCTCCCTTCCCCTCCTCTCCCTTCCCCTCCCCTTTCCCCCTCCCCTCGATGGAGTTGTGCTCTAACTACAGGCACACGACACCACACCCAGCTAATTTTAGTTTTTTAAGTAGAGACAGGGTTTCACCACGTTGACCAAGGATGGTCCTGACTTCGTGATCTGTCTGCCTTGACCTCCCAAACTGCTGGGATTGCAGGTGTGAGCCACCGGGCCTGGCTGCTTTCCTTTTCTTTAGAATAACTTTATTTAGTCTCATGGCAATTAAGTTGTCTTTTGGAATTTTATGGTGTGACCTTTTACTAAATAAACCACAAATGCTACTTTGGAGTCTTTCTGAATTTGAGTCTTTCGAGAATGTGATTTTGGAATGTTTTTGTGACACTCTTTGTGAATCCAGCGAGTTGCTGGCTGGTCATAAGCTATCTTTCTGGCTTCCAGATATACCCTACTGAATAAATGGACCCCAATTTTCGATGGACATGGGTTGCTGGCTTGTAGATGGACAGGCAGTCTTTCTGTTTTCTGCATCCGAAGTTCTTGGCCACTGACAACTTGCAGTCTGGTGACGTGCAGGCTTGTGTTTTGTGGTCTTCCCTACCATCTCAGTTATTAGTGAGCACTCACCTGATTTTTCCGTGTTGTTCGATTTCTGTAGCAAGTGTGGTTTCCATAGTTCATTTTTTTGATTTGCTATTTTTCCCTTGCTATTGCAGATGTCTCATCATGAATTTCATAGTACATGTCTGTCCCTGCAATTAAAGATTGAATATTTCCAGGGTTATTTTCATTTTATCTGAAGAGTTTGTAGACCCAGCTCTCTTCCCCACCACCCAACCCTCAGCAACAAAGAAATTCTATGGAGTAGCATTACTCCAAAGGACTTGATGAGGATTCGATGAGAGCCTAAGTGGCTGGAGCACCCTAACTAGCTACAGATCTCAAAGGAGGCCCTTTGCTTTCAAACCTCCGCTCCTTTGTTTTTGTTTTTTTGAGACAGAGTCTCTCTGTTGCCCCGCTGGAGTGCAGTGGCATGATCCGTGAAACAGTGCAGCCTCAACCTCCCCAGGCTCAGGTGATCTTCCCACCTCAGCCTCCTGAGTAGCTGGGCCTACAGGTGCACGCCATCACGACTGACTAATTTACGTATTTTTTGTAGAGATAGGGTTTTGCCATGTTGCCCAGGCTGGTCTCAAACTCCTGGTCTCAAGTGATTTGCCAGTCTCAGCTTCCCAGAGTGCCGGGATTACAGGTGTGAGCCAGTGCACCCAGCCAGTTATTTAATAAAATTTTTTTGGAGACAGTCTTGCTAAGTTGCCCAGACTTGTGTCCAATTCATGGGCTCAGGTAGTCCACCCGCTTCAGCATCTCAAAGCCAAGTATTCTTTTGTTTGTTTGCATTTTATTGTGGTAAAAGACACATATAACATGAAACTTACCATTTTAGCCCCTTAAATATATAGTTCACTGGCTTTACGTACATTTACCACCATCCATCTCCAGAACGTTTTCATGTTCCTAAACTGAAACTGTCCCTCCCTCCAGTCACTGGCACCCCCTGTTCTTTTTCTGTATTACGTGCCTGGCACATACTATGTGCCCCGTACCTGTTGTGATTGGGGTTTTTATTAGTAATAGTCCATCATGCCTAGTTGGCGTGTGATGTTTTAAAGTGACAATAAAACGTATATAACAAACTTTGAGAGCATGGGATGATTGTCATGGTTTGAATGCTCGTGTGTTGGAAACATCCCAATGCAGTAGTGTTTCCAGGTGAAGCCTTTAAAGAGGTGATTAAATCATGCAGACTCAACCTCATTCATCCATTCAGGAGGGCAGTCACGGAGCGCGTGGGGTATCGCGGGAGCGCGTGGGGTATCGCGGGAGCGCGTGGGGTATCGCGGGAGCGCGTGGGGTATCGCGGGAGCGCGTGGGGTATCGCGGGAGCGGGTTCCTGATGAAAACGGTGGGTTCTCACCCTCCCCCTCCTTGCGCGAGCGGGTTCCTGATGAAAACGGTGGGTTCTCACCCTCCCCCTCCTTGCGCGAGCGGGTTCCTGATGAAAACGGTGGGTTCTCACCCTTCCCCTCCTTGCGCGAGCAGGTTCCTGATGAAAACGGTGGGTTCTCACCCTTCCCCTCCTTGCGCGAGCGGGTTCCTGATGAAAGGGTGCGTTTGGCCCCCTCCTCTTCCTCCTCGCACAAGCGTGCTCTTGGCTTGCATTGTGGGGTGACTTGGCAAGAATGCCCTCCTCAAATGCAGGCCCCTTGAACTTGGGCTTCGCATCCTCAAGAACAGCAAGAAATAAATCCCTGTTCTTTACCTGTCTCAGGTATTCTGTTATAGCAGTGCAAATTGGAATGAAACAGGTATGCAGGCATTCTTATATCTTGCTAGTTGGGATATAAATCAGTAAAATTTTACTAAAAGAAACGCAGAGTATCGCTGCTTCAAAAGCTTAAAAATCCTTATATTACCGAATCAGATAATTCCTTTGTTGTAAGGAAATAAACAGAGGTACAATATACAAATGTAGGAGTGAAAGACTATTGCATTACTTTTTTAAATAGAAAAATTGAACACAATAAATGCCCAGTACTGTGGGATTATTTAAGTAAAACATGCAATTACTACTTAGCTTTTAAATTCTGGTAAAATATTTATTATGCGAAATGTTTAAAATGTGTTGCAATATAAAAGCAGGCTGTAAGAAAGCAAGTATAAATATAAGTGTATTTTTGTGATGTATATGTATGGATGATATGCCATATATGGGAATATGTATGAAACATACTAAAATTTTATCATCTGCAGAGAGTAGAATGATGACTGATGTTTAAAAAATTTTTTCTTTGTGTTTTGGTTTTCCAATACTTAATAAATTTTTTGGCATTGAGCAAGTATTTTGATTCTGTTAGAGAAAAAAGTAATTTCACTTGGAAAAGTGATATTCTGGTTAGCTATGTGAGGTTACTTTATTTTCATTTTAATTATTTATTTTTTGAGTCAGGGTTTTGTTACCAGGCTGTTCAAGCGATCCTCCTACCTCAGACTCCCAAGCAGCTGGGACTATAGGGACACGCCAACATGCCAAGCTACTTTATTTTGTAGAGATGGGGTCTCCCTGTGTTGCCCAGGCTGGTCTTGAACTCCTGGGCTCAAGCAGTCCTCCCACCTCAGCCTCCTGAGTAGCTGGGATTATAGACACGTGCCACACCCAGCTGTTGCATGAGGTTAAAAAGTATCCCCTGAGGGAGAACCTGGCAAAATGGGCCAGCTTTATCGGGTTCCCAGCACTAAGGTGCTAGCTGACTCTTCTGACAGCAGCTGCCCTTGTACCCAGGTGGTGGGGAACATGCCCCCCAAGCTTTCCCACGCAGCCCTCTTGGGAGTCCCAGCCTGAATGCCAATGAGCCCTTCTGAGTTTTTTTGGCATTAGAGGGTACAGGGCAGTCTCCCCTCTCTTATATGCCCCAAATCTTTGTGGGTGTTTTTTTTTTTTTTTTGACAAGTTACTAGCCAAGGCCCTGTGGGGTTTGCTGGGTAGGGGGCAGGGGGGGGTTGTTTTAATCAGTTGTGTTGAAAGCTGGCTTCTGCTGGATCCCATTTTTGGATTCCATTTTCCAGGCCTGTTAAATCTTCCTGGCACACCTAGCTCAGACATTTATGTCCTTGTACTTTTGTGCATAAAATGTTAAAAGGAGTAAAAAATAAACTTGCTTGCTGCTCAGAATTGACCCTGAGCTATATATCTTCCGATGGACACTGGTGCCAGATGGTGTCGCACCTCCTACTGGGTTAATGAACGGGCATTTGCCAAAAACCTTGAGTTGCTCTTGAATCATTCCTTGCACTTTCAATACAAAATTCTACCAGTGGCAATTTGCATTTGTTTCTTTTTCTCTCCATCTTTCTATTTTTGGAAGGAGAAAGGGGTGACACTTTCTGGAATAATTTCCTATGAATGAATTGAATTCATTTTATTGCTAGTATTGTTATAGATCTGTCTCCCTAAATAACTATATGTTGTGCCAACTTCCGGGCACAGAATACTTTTCTTCTCAGAGCTGTTGCAATAATGGCTTTAAAATACACTTCACCTTCTGCATTAGGTGGCACAGGATGTTTATATATTAGTTTGTTGGGGTGGGGGGCAGAAAAAAATGGTCCTTGTGACTTTAATACTACTCCTGTTCAGTTTTCCAGATGCATTCTTGATCCTTTATTCTAGCTACAACCTTGGACAGTTACATGGGGGTAGGGGGTGGAATATTACCTACAAGTCCACTTATTAGTCAGTGGCTTGAAGATGAGATGTGTCTGTGCTTTTCAGTAATAATTGTTTGAATCAATTTAATCTTTTGCTCACACTAGGAAACAGATGATAGGGGGTGTTTAGAGTCCTTGAGTTTTGGTCCTGCTAGCTTGCATTCTCTCCCTCCCCCAGGAGGCCTAGATACTTCAGGGTAGATATAGAGAGTACTATCTTGCTTTTGTCATTGAAGCAGATTGTGAAATCTTGCCCCCTTCACCAGGACTTTCTGGAGAGGCAGGAGTGTTCTTCAAATCTGCACTCACTCTGTTTACTGTTCAAGGCCCTGGTGGAATGTCTTCCATGACCATTTGTGCTGCTGCTTGATATTATTTGGTATTTTGTGGTTCAGGTGGTTCATGTTGTCGTAAGAACCTCACTTCAGGAAACAGATAATGAAGTTGGAGTTGGGTGCTAATATGTAGCCTTTTCTCTGTAGTCCGAATGGATTGTGCAGACTTATAAGGTCCAGCGGCATTTTGAGACTGGCTTTGAAAGCCACATATCTATTTTATTTTTATGGCCTCTGATCTCAAATATCTCCCAGAACACAGTTGGCGACTATGTAATGCATAGTGGAGGTTGTTAACCTCCAGGACTGAAACAACCTTTGGAATAGTCTGTACAGAATTTGGATTCCTTCAGGTTCCTAAACCAATGGCTCATTTCCCACCCACCTAAGAGGGTGACTTGAATCTGAATTATCAGGTACTGTGTTAGACTTGAAACCTTATTAGTTATAAAAAAAAATTTACTACCTCTTTGCATTTTTAAACTCAGAAAAAAAGGTTCAAGTGTGAATTTTCTGTCTTTAGACAAGGATTTGTCTTTTCAAAAGTTCTGAAATTGCCTTTCAGTTTTAGTCTAGGCATTATATGTAACAATTCTTATGTTTTTATCTGCTTAAGAGTATAATTTCCTAGAATTACCCTAGAAATGACAGAAGAAGGATCTAAAGCTTCAAATTCTGGAGTCTGAAATATCCCATAATACCCTGTTCTTATCTCTCATATTGGCTGCAGCATGTGGTTTTATAATTTATGTGCATAGGTTTCCGTTTGCTTCACTAAGCTACTTGTGGAATCGTTTGCTTCACTAAGCTACTTGTGGAATGAGTTTCCTTTGGCCTTACTCATTTTTTAACTCCTAGTACCTACTACGTTAAATTAATCTCATTGTGAAGTTCACCTAGAGCCTTTTTAACGTCTATAATCTTCTCTGTGTTTGATGTCTGGTGTGCGTGAGTGTTTTGGGAAAAACTTGGGAAAAACATCTTAATGGACTGGGTAATCTCATCTTCTACAGTAGATTTTATTTGTGATCATTGTATTAAGAAGTGGACTTCATTCTGTGTCCTGTGCTGGAGAAGGCACTGGAAGACCAGGGGGTCTAGGCTTTGCTGTGCCTATAACTGGCTTGTGATCTCCAGCAAGTCACTTAATATACCTGAGTGTCTAGAACAAAGGTCTAGAAAGCCCCATTCCAAAAATTCCAAGGCAGAAAGTCAGGATAATCCTCGTGAAACTAAAACAACTTTTCTGCCAACTTATTATTCAAGGTGTAGTCCCCCGGAGGTTCCTTTGTAGCACTCTGGACATGGTGTTCTTCAGATTCTTCAGAAGTCGAATTTGCTCACTGCCTCTATTGTTTCTTAACCATTAGTTAGGCATTTATTTAGTCCCTGTGCCAAGCTGTAAGCAAGTTAGCAGAAGTGAAAATTTTTGAGGAGCATAGAATTAATTGTGCTTGGGAATTTACCTATTGTTGGTGTTTGAAAGTATGTTTTTCCCCTTTCTTTGAAAAGATTTTAGGCCGTTGATTCTGGTACTCCAGGACCAGTATGGCGGGAGGCGTGGGGGAGTGTATGTGTGGTATATAACCTTTTAACTTCAGATCTTAAGGCTTAAAAAAAACCAGACTGGATCCAAGGGAGATTTTTAAAGCACTCTTTAAAATACACGTGTTTTCTTTTCTATTTAACACAGGATTCGTTTTCAAAGCAAAATGATCATTTAAAAATATGACAGCCCAGAATTGTTAATGAGCTAGCAAATTGTTCCGCTAAGTGCAAAAGTGTTTTCCCATAAGGTTCAACTCCTAATAAATGATAGTTGATGTTTGTAAGTGACATGGATCTTTAGCTCTACCTTTGTAGTTTAAAGCAAGCTAGTCCAGCCCGCTGGCCACCTGCGGCCCAGGATGGCTTTGAATGTGGCCCAACACAAATTCGTAAAGTTTCTTAAAATGTTGAAATTTGTTTAGCTCATCAGCTATCATACTGTTAGTATATTTTATGTGTGGCCCAAGATAGTTCTTCTAGTGTGACCCAGGGACGCCAAAACATTGGATGCACCTAGTTTAAAGGCTGTGTCTCCTATGTCATATTTTAATAGGCTAAGTTATACTAGTTTAACAGGAATATGTGTGTTTGATTTACAAGGAGATTTCCTAAAGTTGTAGCCTCTGCCTTTGAATTTTCAGCTACTTTAAAAATTACTCTAAGGACACCCTTAACACAGTTTAATGATTTCTTAATTAACTGATCAAATATTTTTTGAGTTTTTACTGTGCAAGGTACTAGGATGTATGCAGTGGATGGTATGGGGGGTGATCAGAGATACAAAGATGAAAAACTACTTTTTCCTTTAGGAACTCCACAGATTGGTGGGTTAGGAGGTATGTATGCTTCAGTATGCTTCAATCCATTTTTCAAAGTCTTGCAGGCCCTTAGGAGTTGGATCATTTTTACGTTTGAACTTGACCGTGATGTTGTGGAATTTTCTAGGTCAGGAAGGGCCTTCTAGGCAGGGGAAACAGCATTAGCATTATGAGGTGATGCTAGACTTGTTCCAGAAAGTATGAATAATTTATGAGAGAGAGGCTGGTAGAAAAGTCAATTCAGAAGATAGCTTGAGACATTGAGTGACCAGAAGAGCAAAGCTTATGGTTTCAGGTGGATCTAGCACTTAAAATTGGGGATTTGTGATTAAAGAGAGAGTTCTTCAACCTCCTGGTATAACTTGCTCTCCTTTGGAGTCAAAGATGATGATGTCAGCCATCTTGTTAGGCCAAGAAGGAAAAGGAAAGTGTGAAGGATTTGCTTCTTGATCAGTAGTTCTTGTCATATTCCATGTAGGATAAATCCTTGTATTCAGGTACATGCTCACCTGCTCTAACAGAAACCTCCAACAATACTGACTTAAATAAGATAATTTAGCTTCCTTTTATGTTAGAGTCAGCTAGAACAGCATTTCTGTCCTGCTGAAGCTTTAGGGGGCCAGGCTCCTTTCTTCTGGTTGCCCCACCACCTCTAGTGTTGTTCTTCTTTGTATGGCCTGAAATAAGGGAGGAAAAAAGGATGGGAGGAAGGGCAAGGAGGAATGATGACCCAGAGGTTGGTTGGATTTTTTTCTACTCCTGTTCCACTTGGCAAAATATCCCCTTGCCACTCAGCTGCAAGAGATAATTATGCTCTGTGTAGCGAGATGCCCTGCAGAGTTCCTAATCCTATGTAAGAAAGGGAGAATAGCTTTGGGGGAACAAGAAGGATCAGTACATCCCATTTGGGCCTTGTCATCTGTATCAGAAGCTATTGGTAATTGGAAATGCTTTTTAAGCCTGTATTGCTAAGAGGAGTAGCAACAGTCCATGTTCTTCTGGTTCTTCATATTGAAAAATGAAACTGACTTTATAAGCCATGTCTGCCTCTGCTAGCTCAGTGAACCTGTTCACCAGCCCTCAGTTGCCCTCCCTGAACCTTGCCATGGAATGTGCACTCTCCTTACCGTCAAGCTCTGTGTAGCTCTGAAGATCACCAGCATTCTGACCCAGTGTTCTTCAAACTACCAAGCAGCTTCAGAACTACCAAGCAAGGCCCAGGAAGTTGACTGGGAGACACCTTTTACCCTTGAGCCTTGCTGGGTGTGATGCTTTGTTGTTTTGGCCCATCTGGTCTCCGTCCAAGGTGGCTGACCTAAGATCTTTTGGGCATTCCACTACAAAGCAGCTTATTGAGCTGGAATTCCCTTGGTGTGTGGGGGAGCATAGTCAACCTACTCCGGCCACGTTCCTTATGGCAGCTGCCCCCTTACCTGCCTAGTGGTCAAAACTACCTGGAGACTCATGGGTTTCTATGATACATTGTAGTGGATTAAGTAGTGCAGGTTCTCAGGGAGGTGCCCAGGAGTGGACATTTAAGCAAACACCTTCTCCAGGTAGGTCTGATCACGGTCCCAGTTTGGGAACCACCGCTTTGCATTCTTCATCTTACTACTTATAACT